AGGTCTTCAGAGCAGCTTGTTTTTTTTACCAGCCGCATGTTAAATGCCCTAATTTCCCGACCACTTCGTTTCGTTGACGGCCGTTGCCTTAGCACCTCGGTGCGATCTCAGGCCCAAAGCATTAGGCCACTCTCCACTCCCAACCATCCACTTCCCACCCAGCACCGTGACACTACTCTTCAATGAGCGTGTGTGTGTGTGTGCTGGCTGACATAATTGCATGAGTGGCATATGAAATACTCGCTACTCCTCCCACAACTCGAGAGGCTGTCAGGGGCAGAATCATGTCCGCATTTGTAGGATGTAAAGGAGAGGAACGCTTTACGTCAGAAGAAAATAGCTGTAGCTCTCTCTGTCTCGCAGAGTACACACAGAACCCATTACGATTGCACACGAAAGCCAGACAGAGCTCAGTAAAATCGGAAAAGTCTCATTCGCTCGCCAATTTATATTAACACAGTGTCAAAAGTGTCGGGTCGGCTCGGGTCGGGTCGGGTCGGGTCGGGTCAGGTCAATGGGTTGTCAGTGCGGAGGTAATGGGAAAAATGCTAATGGAAGCCCACGCCATGTCGAAGCAAAGGATGTTGATAGGTATGATAGGAACTCGTGCAAATCGCCGAAAAGTAGAACTTAAAGTGAACGAAACGAGTGTCGAAATCGAAGGCTCGAATACCTCTTGAGTTCGATCGAAGCCAAAAGCACACAAAAATAAGCCATTGAAAGCATTCCAAAACTGAATATTCTTCGTATATCAATGCCTTTTGATTGAGTGTTTAATCATTCATTGCACCTGTCACTCAATAATCACTCTCGAATGGGTTCACTTAAGCATTCACATGTTCGTTTAATCAAACATCGCATGGAGGACATCCAGCATTGCCCAACGGCCTGGCAGCGGGCTGTCATGGGGAGCGGAGCTGTCATTTTGAATAATTGCATGACGCGTTTTACACGCGACTTTGCGATTGCCAAATGAGAAATGAAATGGATTGAAAATGCATTTACACACCCACACATGGAAACTGCGAGTAAATCAAATGTGGAATATGTGTGTGGATGTGGATGTGAGAGTATCGATGGCTACAAGGATTTGCACTTAAACTGCTCCACATTGCAGGACGAGAGAGAACTACTTGGCATCGATTCACGTGACTGGAAGCCCTCTCCTCAAGTGCTGGCTGGCTGTCAATCCTTTGACCCACAAACTCTTTTCGGAGTCGAGAGTCTAGGGCTGGATAAGATAAAGGCCCATTCACAGGCACTGGAATCTCCGACTCACATTTCAATCTTATCTGAAGTCGCTTTGTTGGGCGGCGGTGGGAGGACTCCGTCATTGATAAATATGCCAAATCATTGGGGCACGTCCTTAAAGGACCGCTCCACCAACTCGAGAGACACGTGCACACGTAGGGACACAAAAAAGGGGCGAAAACTAAGCAAAAAGTAAAAGCAGCGACGGCGGCAGAGGGATAAACTTTTCCATTCACTTTTCCCACTTTTGTTTGTTGAGTTATTTTGTCAAAATTTATTTAAATATTCTGGCAATTTTCGTGAAATACGCGCCCCATTCCCGATCCCAAGAAACGTTTCGTGTTGAATAATTTCTTCAACAGTCATTAAATGCAACAGAAAGCACTCTCTTTTTTTTTGGTGTCCCCCTCCAGCCCGGCCCGAGACAAATGGCAGCAAATTATTCTGATGCTGGAACTGAGGATATTCTTATCCTTCTCTTGTCGTTCTCCTACTCTTTTGTCAACTTTTTCTTTTCCTTTTCCTTTTCCTTTTTTTTTGTTGGTGTGCTCTGTGAACCGCGCTACTTTTCCCCGTCTGCCAACAATTAATTGAAATTAACATATTTTCCTTCATTTTATTTGAGACAACTTATCAAGGACCTGCTGACCCACCCATTCCATCCCATCACATCCCACCATCCATCGTTTTAGGTAAAAGTTAATTTCCTTGCGTTTCCGCGTTGGCTCCTTTATATCCCAGAGATTTCGGGGAAGTACGCCACTTGGACCAATTAAATCCTTTGGGGAAAGTTTTCCAAATTGATTTTTCCCCCGTGTAGATTGCCCAGGTAACGCGCACAATTTTCGCATGAAACTGCAACAAATTCTTCCTTGGGCAAACAACTTCAATCCTATTAGAGAGCTGGAAAATGCACAGAATATCAAGCGATTTAAAACTAATTACAAAAGTTAAATTTTTAGAAATTAATACTCAATGAATCGAATGTGGGGGAGTCGCTTTAATGGGTGAAACTTTCTGCTGTTGTCAGCAACAAATTTGTTTTCCAACACAAAGAAACGTAAGCTCTGAAAATCCCTGAAACTGAAACATGACTTCAACCAATTTATTGAAAAACAAAACAAAAAACAACCCCCCCCCCCCCCCCACGTAAGTAAAACGTTTTCACATTGAGGTGCCTTTAATGAGCCAGACAACGATGCCAGGGAAAAGCTGTGAAAAGTTGTGACTCTGGTGGGGTGTGGGGAAAAATGTAGAAGAGGGAATTCTCAATTCCCAGAAAAACAGAGGGCTGGTTGGCCTGGAGTCCTCTCCAGCCGCATAATAGGGGCATTCCTCATACGCCACCGATTCCCCAGTGTTGCTCCATTTACTGCCGCCGCCGCTCTCTTTCTCCGTTCAGTCTCTCTCCCACTCTCCCACTCTCCCACTCTCTTTGTCTCTGTTTCTCCTCTGTCTAAGTCGAGTCTCCCTCCCTGTTCAACTTTACCATTCTCTTTGTAGTTGTGTGTGTGGGAATACCCTTTAAAGTGCGGCGCATGGCCCGATCTTTGCTCCATCTTTCATAGAAAATAATTCCCAGAAAACTTTCCCCTTCGTTGAAGCCACATCCATTCAGGCATAAGGGCATCCAATGCTTCGGTTTGCCAGTGGGCAGAGCCATTACTTTCTGGTTCCCATTGTTGCTGTTGTTCTTCGGGGGTCGGCGGCGGCTGCCTTTATGAAAAATTATACAAAACTTTTTACTTAGTGCCACGCGGGCACTGAACAATTACGAGGCCATCAGGGGCAGTGGGCTTTGGGGAAGGGGTACCATTACACTCCCTCTGCAAATAAATAAACGTGTTTGTAATAAGCCCCCGTCCGTTTTGACCCCATCGTCGTCCTAAGCGATGCATAAAAAGTTAAGGGAAAAATCAACGAAGGGGAAAGCTGAGCGGCGGCGCAGAATTGAAAATGTTATTTTTCCATTGCGGGGGGGCGGGTTCGTTTAATCGCTGGAAGGCAAAAATCTGACAGTTTTCGCGCTAATTAACCGAATGGCGAGAACAATGCACAAGATTTATGGTTGTAAATTTACTTAATTACTTGCTTTCCGCATATGAATATAAATCACAGAGTGTGGCCATCGACCAATGCCAATGCATTTGTCTTATTAATTGCGAGTAAGAAATTCTGTAAATTCTGTCGAGGCCCATTTAAGAAAAGAATTTTAATGAAAAATCTCATTAGTTTATACACTTTTAATCTGGAATCTGGAATCTGTAATCCATTCTGTGAGCATTTCAATGCATTTTCCCGGTGCAGCATAGCTGCAGCTTACGCTCAAAAGTAGGACATGTTTTTCTTACCTTTTGCAGCCCAAAAGCAGGCAACGCCTTTTGACAGATTGAAATGCGATTTGTTCCTCAACATTCATCGCCTCTTTTTGCCCTTTTGTGTGTGGTTTGGCCGTCCGGCTGTTTTTCTAATTACGCAGTTACGTTTTCAAAAAATCCATTTAATCGTTGAGGCTCGAAAAGCACCGAACATACGAACATTCCAAGAGTCCATTCCCTGTCACCTCCGGTTCATTTTTTGTGCGCCTCGCTCGTCGACTGAACTTTGGGCATTTCTATGGAATTCAATTTCAAAGCTATATCACTTTCATTTAATTTCACGCTTTCAATTTGCGACCCCCACACACAAACACACACAAAACGCAGACAAAACCGGAGACGGCAGAGTTGGATAGATTGTCCGGCAGGCCGGTAAGTCGGTGGGCATCCCTTTTTTTAACCCTCCCACCCACTCTGCCAGTGGCACAGTTCACATTCCCTCTACAGTTGATCCCGCCACGCTGGGTCGCGGCACATGCCAAAGGTATACGGCATAATGGATTCTTTCTTGTTGGGTTTCCTTTTTTTTCTTTTTAGTATTTGTGTTCCACCTATTGTCTGAAAACCGAAACCAAAGCGGAGCGAACTGCGAACTCGCATCGCTTCGCTCGTCAATTTGGCATATTCAACGGCTCCGCAAACAAACCCAGAGCCACACCCACACCCACCACGTGTGTGTGTTTTAGAAATGGATGGGGAATGGGACAGAGTGCGAGAGAAAACAAAAGCACAAGCAGTGGGTGGGGGGAGGGGCGCAGAAAACTTTTTAGAAAACAAAACAACTGCACATCGGATCGCATGAATGTCATCCATGACCCCCGCCAACTGCTAACTGGGGATGATTATTTACTATCAATGGAGGGGAACATTTTTAATGTTGACTCTGATTTAGTTACTGTTAAAGTTCTTTGATTTGTGCATGTAATTTTTATCTACTACTTATGAAAGCCTGCCAAAAATTGGCTGCCTATTAACTCTACATTGAGAACTCGCATCCCATTAGCTGAAAGCAGAGGTTGAAAGTTGCACCAGTTGCGCACATTGCTGCTTAGTTGAGCTGCAAACTCAACCATAGACTGAGCATATTTTTTTTCAACAGCAAGCTGAACTACACCTACTTTCTGTGTGTATGGATGTTGTGTGTGCGTGAAAGACTCTCACGAAATTGGTCAGCAGTATTACGTTTGAGCTGCTCTCAGTTTTTTCAGTTTGTTTGGAAGGTGGAAAATGCATTTTAATCATTAAACCAGCGTAATCAATTCACCCATTTCTCTTTCTCTTATCTCCTTCTCTTGGTCTCCTTTGAGAATTGCAATTCGCAGCGAAAACAACTTTTGATTAATTAAAAGTAAAACACAACACAAAACAACAACGACTTCAACAACAACCGACAGCACAGCGACTGCGAGAGAACACCGACAGCAACAACATCGGCTGAAAGTGAGTGTTAAGCGCTGGGCTTTTGGGCCAACCAAAAGCGTTCAACAACACTGTCCGCAGTAGTCGTCGCGTCGCGTCTGATGAGTGTAGAAAAACATTTGAACTCGACTTTTTGTGTAAAATAAATACAAATATTTATTACAAATACTAGCAAGAGAAAACCTTTGCCAGCGAATCAACATCGAAATGGAATTGGTCATCCTTTTTGTCAAAAAGCATTTACTTCGCGAAAGTAACAACTTACACGACAACAGCGAAAACAACAGCGAAAACAACAACGGAAACGGCAACGGAAACGGCAACGACAACGGTAACGGTGAGAACAGGAACAACGCCAGCAACCGGAACCATCCTAGCAACCCCAACAACGGGAACAACAACGAGGAGGGACAGCCAGGACAATCAGGACATCCAGGACAGACGAAACTAAGAGATCAGTACCCGAAGATCGATCAGCGTACACGGCTACTGGCACTACGGCACCCAAAGAGAATCGCATCTGGTCCAATTTCACCAACCAATCAACCAGAAGTTGGATATAGATTGGCTGAAGTTGCAGCCAAATCGGAGGCAATCGCTGCAGCAGTGCAACAAGATCAAACAGCTGCACGCAAGGAGAGTAATAACTGCAAGGACAAGTAAACCGGCAAAGTAATCAGTCCACAACATTATCATCAACAACACAAGCAAGTAAACATTGAACAAACAACTGTACAGACAAGAAATACTTCAACCACAACTATACAATCAAGAAACCACTAATCCAAGAACTACACATTCAACAACATCATCACCAACAAAGACACACAAGAGAGTAATAATTCAACAACGACTAAACTTACAAAACCAAACCAGGAACTGAAAATATCACAGCTATAAAGAAAACACAACGTGAAACCACAACAACTACTCCCATAAATATAATTATAATACAAGAACACAAGAAACGCATCCAGAATTAGTTCACCAAGGGTAACAATTCACCATAAGTAACAAATAAACAACAACTTCTCGAAGAAGTGCACCAAGGGTAACAATTCACCATAAGTAACAAATAACCAGAGGTAAAAAAGAACTGCGTCTGCAACAATCAACCCAGATTCAACAACAAACAAAACCTGAGATAACCCAACAACAACGACAGAAGCAGCTTCAGCAGCAACAACAAGAAGAACAATTTCAACCAAAGCGGCTACAACAGCATCAAGACGGGTTCCAATAATTCAACAACAAGTCAGCCAGAGCTCAACAAGAGCTCTACAGCACCACCACCTCAGCAACAAGAACCCAAACCCAGCTCCAGCAACGAGAGCAAGATGCAACGTCTTCGCACGACCTTCACGCGTTCGCGGACGCCCACCGGTGCCGAAATGAAAATGCAGAACAGCCTCGAGGTGCCCAAACAGGTAAACAATCGATTAGGTCGATAGCATTTGTCGATTGTCTGGTTTGCATGTCTTGTACTGTACACAAAATTGTGGTCTTGTTTGTTGCTTATTATTGCAGTTGATTTACTTTATTGATTGGTTTTTGATTGTCCAAACTTGTCTCTCCCTATTTATCGATTTTCCCTGAATGAATTTACTTTGGTTATAATTTCCATCGATTTTCTGCTGTCAAGCACCGATAAGTAATCGAGTTTTCAATGATTCGTCTTTAGTTGTTGTTTGCATGAGTTTCGTTTTGTCCAAGCCAGCATTCACCGTGTCTGATTTTGAGCTCTGACCCTCTCAACCCCTCTGATGTTCCAGGTGCGTTCCGCCTCCTTTGACGAGATGCAACTGGAGGCGCAGCGCACGTCCTCCAACCGACTGAGGCAGCGTGCCTCTTCCTCGGCGGAGGGGCGTGCCTTGGCGGTGGATCGTCTGCAGGTGCCGGCCGGGCATGGCCGCTCGCGCAGCTTCGATTCGGCTGTCATCGATCCGACGAGCGAGGACTCCGGGGCTTTCCTGGATGTGCCGCGTCGCAACAAGATTCCGCGACGCAGCAGCTCGTCGAGCCCGAAGACCCCGCCGCCGTGCTTCCATTGCCAATTGGTGAGGCAGTACGAGCGCCAGATGACAGCGGAGCAGCGCTTCTTCATCGATCATCGAGAGCTGACCGCTCTCAGCTTCTACAGCGATGATGACGATGACGACGACGAGGACGAGGAGGAAGGCGCTGTGGGCGGTGAAGGCCTGTGCGAAGACATGCAGGGTGCCTGCGGCGGACGGCCGCTGCCCGATGTGAACAACGAGGCAGTGGCCCGGGCGCAGGCCATTCTGGCATCGACTTTCGAGAACGATCCCAGCACCGATTGTGAGGACGATGCCGTCGATATGGACCTGGGATTAATCCATCTGAGCATCGAGCAGTCACGGGCCCGCATTCCCCGGCAGATGCGGCGCCACACCATCGACAGCTCTGTAGGCAACTCTGAGGATGAGGGCGTCGACGGATCCGGCCCCAACTCCAATAATTCGCCGTACTTCGGCAACACCCTGATGCCACCCAGGCCCTGCGGCATCACCTTCACCCTGTCACCCACCAACGGCGACTGTCCGTTCCTCCCGACCTTCGCTTTTCCCATTGATCCCAACTCTCCGCCAGGCTCGCCCTCGCCCACCCAGTCACCATCGCCATCGCCGTCACCATCCCCGTCGCCCACACCGTCGGTGGTGCTGGCTGTTCCGCCGCCCGCGTTGGAGCTTCCGTCCTGCTCCACTGGCAACGGCAGCGGACAGCAGCTGTTGGGATCCACTGCAGCTGTGGCCGCCGCCGCCCTCACTCTACCGGCGATTGCCTCCTCGCAGGCAGCTGCAGCCATGGCCACCGGAGCGGTCTGCACGCTGGCGGATGCGGACGATGCTGCTGCCGCTTTGGGGGCCATGGGACTGCCGGTTAGGCCCAGACGCCGGTCCATCTCGCGGCAGGAGGCCATCTTTGTGGAGCCCACCGGCAGTTCGCTGGAGAATGTCTCGATGTCGATTGAAAAGGCGGACTCCATTGATGCCGCCTCCACCAGGGCCAACTGTGGTTCACCCACGGGCATGTTTGCCGTGGCCCATCGCACGGGATTTGTGGTGCAGGATATCTACTTGACCGTACCGGATCTCCGACGAGATCGTGCCGCCTCCGTGGACTCATGCTTCTCGAAGCTCTCATCAGGCAACAAAACCGAGGAGCTACAGCCCACCGTGGACGGCTGCTACCTGACCGTGCCGGTGATCAACACCACTCGATCCCGATCGGTGGACATTGTCCTGCCCACCGATGAGCAGGCTCGCTACAAGGCCCTGGCCATGACTGGCAACGAACCAGGAACCTACGGGTAGGTCGAAGTTATATCCTGTTATCCTTTGGGGGCTACAGATTCCTGTTCAAAATGAACGAAAGTTTTTGTTGAACGAAGAGACTGAGACTTATTATTTTACACGCATTTTATGAGTAAGGGGGGAAGTGCCTTTTTGTTTCCTCATGTTTCTGTTTACTTTTCTTTGGACTTTTTGGGACTGGCATCACCTTTATCCCTTATCCTAGGCAAGCTCTTTTTGGGTGGTTGCTATTTTTAGACTTGGGCACAACCTTTAAAGCGTCTCATTAAAACGAGCTTAACACGTGGCCAAGGTGATGCGCATTTTTGGAGCACTAGCAGCTTGGGGGCCAGAGACTTTTGGACCGGATCTACACACACCTTCTCGCATTTGCTGTTGTGGTTGGCCCTTCCAGTTTGGAGGCATGGAAATGGTAAGACATGTGTCTGCGATATGACACGTGCGGGCTGGAGAGACATGTGATGCCCGGCGGGGAGTGAGTGTCCGCTGGCCAGGACTTAGACCTAATTAAACGAGAGGACTCTCCAGTCTTTTCCCTTTGGTTTGTCCATTCATAATTCCCGCCCCAACAGCGGACTTTGACTGAGCCTTTCCATATTGTATCGCAGCCAGCCAGGGCCCTCAGCATAAATAAATTATGGCGGACAATGACAAAACAAACAAAAAAAAACAACGAAAAATGGCTCAGCGAACCGATTTCCTTGAATTACAACAAAAGCCGCCCATAAATAATATTCAAACAAAGTGTCTCGTGTCCGTGCGACTTGTCTCCCCCCCCTGTTGCCCCATCGCCCCGAAATGACGTGAAGAGTCTGCCTCTGCGTGCCACAAAATCGAGCGAGGTGTGAGGGTGACGAACCACTTGCGGCCAATTTGTTTGTTTCTCAGAGGCAGAGTCATTCCGCCCGTGAGTCCGCTGGAGTCCGGCAGGCTCTACTTGGACGCGCAACTTCCGTGACCCGATATGGATATGGATAATTCAGAACTTTTTTTTCCTGATGGTTTACATAGATTAGGAGGGCTCCATGTTGTGTGCGTGTGCCAGGCAACTTGACTCCATGCCACGAAAATTAATTATTTTAGTGACTACATAGAGAAAGAGAGAGACAGACATGCTGCGGAGGATTTCTAAATATTTGATATGGATCAAAGTCCGTACGAAAAGTGTATCAAGGTTCCAGGCATCGAATCAACCAAAAAACACATAAATCCCAGTCAGAAAAGAAGAAACTTAAACCGATGAGTGCTGCAGCATGACAATTTTGGCTCTTAGTTTATTTTTTATATGATCTTGGACCTAAATTGTAGAGAAGCTGGGGGGCTGGAAAATGTTTCTACGAAACTTTATAGCCTTTATAGCGCCGTAAAGCGATTCTTTTATGATTATTATAATCTATCAAATGTCTGACTAATTTTAAAAAGGGGCTTCAAATATTATAAACCTCACAGAAACATTATTATGCCTTAGCTATGCGTTCAGTGAAATTATCTATGAGCAAACCAAAATTACTTTTTAATGATAAGTATCTTAAGAACGCAAAAAATATTCTTCTGTAAACTAATCGAGATATTTGCATTCTGTTGCAGGTACGTAAACGATGGCTATTTCCATAAGTATTCCGTATAAAATATAATCATCACAAATGCACTCACAGGATAAGTACTGAAAACATAAATATTTAAATATGTTGTGGTTGTGAATGTGTGCGATTTCCTTTTTAATTTCCGATTCATGTTGACCCAATTGATGGGCCACTTGCTCGGATTGTCATACGCGTAATAGCCACTGTGGGACTCTCCATTAGAGCTGTCAATCCCTAGCCAATAGCCACTGAGCACATGTTCCCAAAGGACTCTCGAGGCCATCATAAAGTTGGATTTGTTGATTTACGATACTGAAGCGTGTAACATGTTATTTATTATCTTCGACTGTGTTCCTTAGTGAAACATTAACCACCTAATGCTATGTTTAATTTGTGTGCACTTTCTTTTCCGCTGGCCACACTCCCATTCCATTCACCCCCACTCCGACCTTTTGCTCAGCAAAATGTAAGAAAATTATAAAATCATTCAATCATGCGACGAAAGCCGGACACTGCAGTCATTCATCCACAGCACGGATGTGTCCTCCACACGGAGGAGTGTCTGTTTGTCTGTGCCCCCAAGGCATTTTGCGACTCGTTCATGCGTCTTGGGGGTCTTTCCTCCAGACATTCTTGTGGTTGCTGTCGAACAAGAAACAAAAAGTTAACCTACACTTTTATGACAATGGTGGAAATAATTTTATGAAAATTCACCCCCAAGGGGCAGTAAGAAAACTTTTACATGCATGAAATTAGCATACAGCACTCGGGGGAGCACGAAATTTGCTTTATTCCCTGATTGAGGTAACTGTTTGGCGCATGAATGGAGATTCAAATCAAAGATTCAAAGATATGTATTGATGGGCACTTTTGAGGTAATTTACAAAGAGTAAACAGAGCATTTGGTACCACAAGGGAATTCATTGATACGTAAATTAAGCTCTAGTTTTTTTTTAATTCCTGGAAAGTCCTGTGCAGAAGTATCTTTTTCTGAATAAAAGTACCCCATATGGAGGTTCGGATATAATAAGTAAAGGATGGAAGGCAGCCTATTTTATGACTTGATTCCTCTGCTGAAAAGGGAAATTGCCCACACAATTGCCACCTTACGTGAACATATGTATTCCTGTGATGACTCGCGGCTTCCAAAGTAAATACAAATCTGTTAAGCGAATGCTCAAATGGACTGTGGCAGATAGAACACTCAGCAGCTAGGAGGATGAGGGTATAGAAATCTTTCGCTTTCGGTCCACTCCAGTTGCACAGTTCCGCCTTCTGCTGACGCACGTGTGGCGCGCAGCAAAAAAGTAGCAATAGCAACCACAGCAACAGCAAAAACAATGGCACTCGGAGGCCTCCCTGCCACAATTAAGTTTAATGAAACATTTGTTCGCTTTTTGCGTGCCCTTTAAAGAAGGGTATGACGATTCTGACAAGATGCTTGCAAGGCTGAGAGATCTACCAGGTATACCGCTTTTTAGGGGGCCTTCTTTTTGGTCCAGCCAGGAGGCGTAATTCCACATCTTTCTTCATTTAATTCGCTTTAATTCAAACCGCTTGACTGTATCTTACTAAATCTGGAATACGCCAGGGTATTCAAAGTTTCGATAGGCTGCCCCACTTGTGGCCCGGCCACAACTACGTCAACAGCAGAGGGGCAACGTCTGAGTGTAGGGCTTGGAGGTGATGTTTGTGTGTGGGGGGTGCACGCAGATGTGGGATAGGCGTATGGAGGCGAAATTGAAATGCAAATTGAAAGGCACAAAGCGAGAATATGCCAGGCGAACAATCAAAGCGGGAGACAAAGCAGCGCACGGCGACCGTAGAAGCGACAACGACAACGTCAACGTCAGCGTCAACGGCAGCGCAAAGCAGAGAGGAAAATGTCACCAGCGGAGCAGTCAAATGAAAAGCAAACGCCGAAAAGCCACAAAAAGAGTGCCGCCCGGCAGGCAGGAGAACAAAGCATAGAGAGCAAAAATGGCTCTCAGTGCTGCTCAAAGAATAAAATAGTAAAAGAAGCTAAAACTATAGTTTTGTCTTCACGCAAGAGGGCGATATCCGCACTATGAGTTATTGTTGCAAAACAGCTACAAAAAAAGCTAAATGTTATGGAGTACTGCAACAAAAAACTTAATGTCAACTCTAGGAAAGAGTCACGCAAGAGTGGCAGATTGTAGACAGTACTAAGATTTATTGCTTTAACATGTCACCCGCTAATAACCGACATTTCCAGCTAAAAATAAAACCTAAGAGCATACCAGATTCTCATCACTGATCGCGAGAATACTCACCACACGTTGCCGCAGCCTCATTGAGGCGACAAGGGGTCGCTGGCTCTGCCGCTACCGCTGCTGCTACCGTTGGCGTTGTCGTTGACTTTGACTTCGCTCGAACGCCGTCGCCGGTGGGCTGCCCAGTCGCGTTGTGGGGTTGGATGCTGCCGCCAGCCAAAAAAGCCAACAAATTATCCAAAGGGGGAGAGGAATTGACAAAAAAAAACACTCAAGAAAAACAAGAAAGAAATAGCAATACAACAAAAAATAACGGAAAAACGCGCGCGCGAGTGCCTCTCAATCTAACCCGTTAACCGGCAGAACAGAGAAGTGAGTGTGTACAGCGAAGACAAACCCATAAGAATTAAAGTGGATAAGCATAAGGAAGAGTGTGGTCGAAAGCAGCCAACGAAAACCTGTGACCAAATAGCAACCAGTGAAAAAGTGTGACCTAAAGAAATACAAAATCAGGGTGTAGGTATTGAAGGTGACTCCCTGCAATCATCCTTCAAGAAGGATTTTAGACCCCTATACGGACACCAGAGAGAAAGAGTGCGAAAGTATTATTATTGTTCTTGCGTTCAAATCAAAACTTAAGTCAAAAAACGGGTCAATTAGACCCCCGAAAAAAAACACAAAAACAAAACCAACATCAATGGAAATTCCAATGGGTTTTAATTGAGACGAACGCGCCTGAGGCATGGGGGAAATTGTTAAAATTCAATTAATTTAATCAATGAACTTGAAACAGAAAACGAAAACGAAAACTTGAGCGGAAAACGAACAAAAGGAGAAGTACCAAAAACCAGCAGCAGCAAATTGAAAATACAATCTAAAAAAAAACGTGGGTCCAGGACGGGTGGAAACCGTCAAAGCCTTCAAATAGAGTTGAATGTTAGATGATGACGAGATCGTTGATAATTTACAGGGAATGATAAATGATTCGAGTACTTTTCTATAACTTCAGCCAATCATATTCATATTCATTCATATGTATTATATCCATGGCAATTTCTACAATATTGTGAACTTTAATTCATTGGAAAACCTGTGTCGTGTTTTAGTTTGCAGTATGAATAATTACTCAATCTATCTTATCTCTTTTATTTTATCTCATATCATTAAATATTTGATAAATCATTAGCACATTTGCTCCTAGAGATACCTCAGTGAGTCTTTTATGGGTTGTCTGATTATCAAAAATGAATAATAAAATACCACAATAATATCTCAATTATTGGTCTACAATTAAAATATCTTTTGAAAGCGCTTGTGCCAAGATCTCATTTTATTTTTAACAACTGATTTGTTGCCTACCAACGTGCAGACCTCTTTATATTTATGTTCATATTATAGCTGCTGAATCATGCATGATTTAATACTCCAACAAATCTTTCATACATAGTAACATAGAGAGCAGGGAAATTTAGACAATAAAATCCTCATGTTACGAGGCAGCCAAATGTTGTAATTGCTTTACTTCTGCTCAGCCTTTGTGTTGTTTCTGTTTTTCCCAATTCTGTAGATTCTTCTCTGGTTCTTCCCTCTACTCTGGCTCTTCCCGTTCCTATGCTTTAACTCTTTCCGTTTTAAATAGTTCTATTCCCCCCATCGTTTTCATGGCCTCTACGGCGGCATCTGAACCAAAAGGCTAACTGCCAGCCATGACATTTCAAGAATTTCGCACTCATTTATCGAAAAAGCAGGAAAAGGCAAGGGGAAAACTAGCCGCAGAAGGGAAAAGGCGAGATTGAGAGAGAGAGACACACACATAAAGAGAAGAAAGACGAAAGGTGGCAAACTACAAGAAGAAATGACAGGCGGAGGGAGGTGTGGGGAGGGAAAGGAAAGGAAAGGAAAGGCAGAAGTACGTCGCATTTCGTTTATTTGATTTGATTTATTGTCGATTTGTTGCTGTTGGGCTTTTGCTCTTTCTTTTGCTCGCTTGTTGTGGCAGCTGCTCCCCCAACCAACCAAAGAAAACAAAAAACAGCAACAACATCATCTAAAGAACATAGATAGAAGGGTGCCCAGGGGGCAGAGTCCGAGCCACGCCCACGAAATTGTTTGGCCACGTGAGAAATTCAGAAATATTTTGCATTTTGCAGGCAACATTTCAATTGCAATTTCTGTGTGACCAACAAATAATATCCAAGTAAATGTTAGACGCGAATCCAAAGGATTCTTGAAGAGCGATGCATGGATGGGTCCAGGTTCTGTGTTCAGGGAAACGAGACCAACACTCAAATATATCCGAGTCATTTTAAAAATAAATGCCCAAAATCACACACATGTTTTAGATTTGAAAAGTATGATGGCTCTGCCCCGCTCACTCTCACCCTCTCTCTGTCACTCCTGTTTGCTGTTTCTTATAATTAACTTAAGTATTTTTAGCAAACAAAAAATAACAACAACCGAGACAAATAGCAACAACCGAAATATGAACATGATGTCGTCTTCTCCTCGTTGTCGTTGTCTTAGTCGTTTGCTGCCGGACAAAGCAAACAAAGTATTTAAATTAAAAACGAAAATCTACATGGAAAGCAAAGGCAAACGGCCAAACGGCCAAACGGCTGAAATTGAATGAAAGACAAAATGCATGCGAAATTGTCTTCCGTCCAGAATTGAGAATGATTCCAGCCGGGTCTGACAGAAAGAAACTCTAACCCAAGTGCTCACTATCTACGATTACGAGTATTTTAATGTCACGCGCTTCTCCTACGACTGTTTGATGCTGTTTGGATGCTCTGTTTATCCGTTGGCCTAAATTCATTCATAAATTTTCGACCCAATTGTGCAATAGATTAGGGTGAGGCGGGTACCAACCCCAAACAAGCGAGATAAACAATATAAAATAAAGCCAAAAGATGGACCAGGAACCAGGTAGTCAGTGATAGTGTAGTACTGGGAAGACTCTATAGAGTCGAAGAGGTATACCTGCACGCACGTCTACATGGGTCTGTGCTGATAAGCTTTTGGATACCCAAAAAAACGCATGCAGATTCCAGAAAATTCTTGAGTTTGGGTACCTAGAAACTTATTTAAGCTCGAAATATTCTTTAGATATTTGGAATATAATCTAAATTAGCTGGTGGCATAATAATTTCTAATCATTTTATTTGTTATGAATAGTTATCAAAAAATTAATGATCCTCGTTATTTGGGGCCAAGTTCCTTAAACTTTCAAGTCCTCTTTCGATTCAATTTGTCTTTTATTTTACTAATTGTTGCCAAGAAGGCATAAATTGAAATGCCAGCGGGTACATCAATGGAGCACCAAGGAAGCATCAAGGTGGTGGCAGTCTGAAAAGTTTTCCGCCAGAGTTTTCTGTATTCTGTGTCTGCATCGCTTAATGCCAATTAAGAATATTAATTTCGTTTGCAGTCGTCTTGCCGAATCCACTTCTACCCTTTGGCAGGTGGACTGGACTGCCATTGTTAATATTCATTAGCTTAAAATCCTTTTCTCGTGTTGTTGTTGCCATTTTAAGTATTTATTTCCCCCAACCAGAACCAGAACCAGAGCCAGAGCCAGAGCCAGAGGACAATGTGCCACATTTTCAATTCAAACGAGAACGAAAAAGAGAATGAGAATAAGAGCGAGGACAATGCAGGATGTGCAGATAATTTTTCATTCTTTAACTCCCCCCTGGCTCAAATGGATTTCTCATTGGCTTAAATGTTCAAATGAATGGATGATACGAGTATATTTGTGCACAAAAACCATATCTATTTCCAGCTGCGAAAACGCTTCTTTTCCTGTGGGCGGTTATAAATAGAAGTTCGCTCTGTGACAGTTTGGTTCTTTGGAACCCCTTTCTTTGGTCTCAGGGTTACAGGTGATGGAACGAACCTCCACTTTCAAATAGTTGTATTTATTTATTTAACCATTTTGCTGTATATTTTTTTTTTTTTTATTATGCCAAAGTCAAAGGCGGGGACCAGAGACCAGAGAAACACGGAGACACCGAGGAAACCCGTGTAAAAATATACTTAAGAGGCTGTGTGGGGCGGCGGCTGATGCTGCTGCTGCTGTGCAAAGTGTCATTATTGAAAAAACGTAAAAATATTTCAAGGCTCTTATTGATTTTGTCAGAGACAGAGACAGAGACAGAGATGCCATCCCTGCCCCCGTGCCACCTTGCCATCCATGCACCTTCCTTCAAACTGAATCTGAATCTGAATCTCAATCGGTTGTAAAATGAGGCCGGCAGAAGGTGCGGGAGGCTGGCCCGCAGATTGGCGACAGCTTTTGCTTGTCAATAGCAAAGTGAGAGGGAAGATACATAGACCTCCATCTTCTATCCTCCCTTCTACTCCCTGCCTCTGGCCAGACCTTCTTCCACTCTTCAAAGGTGCCATCAAAATTAAACGCATTTGAATTTCGAATTTCAAATTTTCGCTTGCCACATTTTTGTTTCTGCATCTTCGGTCGCGCCATGAATCTGCCAGCCAAGCTGGTCAAATGACTTCGGTCCAACATTTCGATCTAGTAAGCCTTTTCGGTACAGAAATCTGGAATGCAAACATAGAAACCAAAATATGAAAATAGTTGGCGTTGAGCTCGTTAAATGTGCCACATTTTCCAGTCCAGCCGGATATTGCTCAGTTCTAAGTCTGAGTCCGAACGGGCAACATCTTTCCCAATAACAAAAAATAAAATTGAACAAATAGAAACAAATTCTCCACTCTACTAGAAACATAAATTTAGTTCAAAAAACAAAGTGTAACGTAAGTGACGAAATGAAATAGTGTTTCGGCAATTCGAAATATTAATTTGCACAATTCAAAAGACAAAAGACAAAAAGAATGCTACCAGCCATGTGGAGTCCCCGCGTGAATCTGCTGGCCGACGACCCGCACGACATGCTGTGCGATGACGAGAAGCATGCTATCGCGGCTTTGAAGCGGATCTATGTGAAGACCATCGAGCTGGACAGCAAGTTGCAGCGTGAGATGTATGATCTGGAGGAGAAGACGGAGGCAGAGCATAACGTCTTCTACGACCAACGCAAGAAGGTCCTTGATGGAATACGTCAGAGATACAAGGGCGGTGCACTTGCCAAGAATGTGTCGAACTTTTGGTTGCGTGTCCTGAAGGCTTCCTACCCTGAGACAATCTCCGAAATGGATTCCAATGTCCTCTGCCACATGAACGACATACGCAGCAAGCTCTATAGCCGGCCGCAGGTCAAGTTCGAGATCTATTTTCATTTTGAGCCGAACGTCTACTTCAGCAACAAGCATTTGACCAAGACATATTACCTGAATTGCACGGTGGACCCTGAGGAGCCCATGGCCTACAACGGCGATGAGATCTACAAAGCTCAAGGGTGCACCATCAACTGGAAGTCCGAGACCCTTAGAAACATGTACAAGGACTCCTTCTTCAAGTTCTTCAGCCCTCCCTCAATGCCCGAAGACACTGAAGATCCCACATTTAAGCAGATCAAGGAAATACTGGTGAACGATTTCCATTTCGGCATCTACCTGAAGGAGCGTGTCATACCAAAGGCCGTGTTCTTCTTCACGGGCGAGATTAAGCACAATCAAGGATCGTCGAGCGACACGGAAGGCAACGCCGAGGATGATGGGGACTCTAATGCGGTTGGGGATGGGGAAGGGAATGCGGATGCGGATGCGGATGCTGATGCGGCATTGTCAGATGAGGAGAATTCTTCTCCACTGGAAGAGGCATCGCCTAACCAGTCAGATTTCGATAATGAACTCGACGAAGAAAGCGATTCATCCGATGATGTGGACCTCTACAGGGACCCTGGCTTGCTGGAAACCATACAGGATTTCCAACGCCCGGGGAATGCCTTGGGTCGCCTTTAAGTTTCACTTCAAACAACACTTTAACACTACGAACTACACTAACTATTTCGATGAATGCGAACTATGGACTACATTACATGCATAGATGGTAAATGATTTCTAAACGACAAAACAAAACAACTTATTCCAGACCATCTATGCCAAAGCATTTATGCGTGTTTCAAAAATTGTTTCGCACGTGGCAACAACAATTGCTTCTCCACACACACACACACACGCACGCACACAATCAGCAAAAGGCAATTGTTTACCACGTGATTGGAACAGGTTTTGACACAGACAAACACAGCTTACTGAGGCTGTTACAATTAAATAAATCTTGGCATTGTAATTGTATTTATTTATGCAGCTTTTCCTTTGGTCCTTACCCCTGATTACATTTGCTCCGGGATTGACACATCAATTGATTTGCGGGACTGATTTGCACATCATTCGGCAGTCAAAATCAAAGTCATTCCAAGGGCAGGTATTTGATAAAACAAGTGCTGTGATGCAAGAACATTTATGGACAATTGACTACCACCATATCTTTGGGTTTTGTAACACGAACTCACCACAGAGGAAGTCGAAAGAAATACAATGCCACAGCCGGAGAGAGAGATTTCGTAATTGGCTTTTGGAAGTTGACAAAATGTTTGCATGTAATTAATTTTCACTGAAATTTTCGGACGATTTTCCTGCCTGTCAGCCACCAGCCACCAGCCACTAGCCACTAGCCACCAGCCACCCAGTCAGCAACCAAGAGAGTCGAATTTCGTGGTGGAGAAGAGGAATCCTTGTGCCTCGAAGCCAATGGCAAGGGCGCAGACGGACACTTGAGATGTAAGAGAATGGAAATGGATTTTCAATGATTTTCGCCAAGTTATTTGATCAACTATTAGGAAAAAGCCAAGAATCAGAGTCCCATCTCAGCAACTCCCACTCCATCTCCCACATTTCCAGGGCACCAAGACACTGACTGCAGTTGCAAAATTGATTTGCAATTCAATTTGCCAGGAGCTCTTTCCTGCCCCTCGTCTTTCAGTTTCTTTTGTGTTTTCGTGGGGGAATAAGTGCGGCCATTGAATAACACACACACACACACACACACACACACCACGCGCCAAACAGCACGAGACAAGAGACAGGAGGCAGGATACACAATGACAGGAGCCAAAAATTAAAATAAATTCCCCACACAGGCAAAATCTAGTCCCAGATTCGAGGTATCTAACAGGTGCAGCATCTTTGGATATTCATAATTGGTTACAACTTACATCACAATTTACAATAAAGCATTATGAAATCTTTACGTAGGCAAACTTGGCTGTAACTATCGACTGCTTAACCGACATCAAAGTGCACGTGATGTGCGAGGGCATGCAGCCAGCCCTCGTCCGGCAGTATGCACCAAAAATGATTATCAAAAAATGTAATCCTTTCAATTGCAATTCTTAGCATTATTTGAATTGATTCGTGCCTATTTGTATTATAGGGCAATGCTGTCCACTCGAGGGGGCTTTCAGTGTATGCAAAACGGTTAGTTGGTTTGAGAGCGTGGGTTTGCATGAGGGCATAGGTCGTCATGTCAATCTCAGTCACACACACACACACACACACACTGGAACACGCTACATTTAACCGAAAATCAAGCGTGGATGCCAAAAATGTTCTGTTTGACGCGTCAAAAACAGCGCACAAAACGCGCTCAAAGGCAGCACACACAGAGAAAAAAAATCAAGTCGCAGAAAGGCACGGAAAAACAGCAGGGAAAACCCCCACAAAACGCCCCCAAAGTGGGTGTTGGTTAGGTGTCCCGAAAACGTTGACAATTGACATGGAAAATCTGCAAGCCATTTCGAAAAGAAACCTGCAATTTTCCAGGCCAATAAAATGCGACGGTCCCTTGTCAAACTGTCCGCCCCGAACCCTTGGCACTGCTCCCCATACCCCTGGAGCCCTGAGCCTAGCTCCCCCTACCCCTTCCAGCCACCCAAAAGAATCAGATGGACTAACATTATGGTGCACGTAGTCCGGTTGGTGGTCCGGGTCGCTGCTCTCCTCTTACCTTGAAAAAACCAGAGAAAAAAAATAACAACAACAGAAACAAAAAACCGAGTCACATTTTTCCCGTGTATTTTCATCTGATAAGAATTTAATTACAATGCATATAAACAAAATGTATACAAATGTTATTAAGCCTCACACGCATGGGCGACCCCAGTTCCTCTGGACACTGGTGGTGTTGTATTCCAGTGGGGGGAGTGCGGGAGAATGGAGGTGCCTTGATATCCAAATAATACACCTATGAATGGAAAACCGCTATGGGGAATTTTGTACACCCTAATGGGAAAGGGTTAACAAAGAAATCCATTTTTCCGTGTCGGGAAAAAAGGAATTCAAATTCATTGCATATACTTATCTAAATTTTCTCGTGAAATAAGATTGAAAATATGAAAACAGAACCGAAAGAACATAAGTATTGAGCAGAACAGTTTTAGCCTTTCGTATCACTCTTTCTCTCTCTCGTCTAACAATAAATGCTAATCAAAATCATAATTTAGTTGAATAAAGTGTATCTGAATGCGGGAAGAACCAATGAACCGGAAGGGAGTGAAATTGTATAAAAGGTGTATAATAACAAGGCAAAAGCAAAACAAAATCTCCGGTCGGAATCTTTATGCGCCATAATGACAGCCGCAGAGACACGGACCGTGGAATCACCATCAGCAAAAGCGGCAGCGAAATTAACTGCGAAATCAGCCAACGAATCGCAGTCACAAAACCCTTGAAAAACGGTATTGAAATCGCATTCAAGAGTGATTCGGCAGCAGCAGCGGAGGAGCAGCGATAAAACAGAGAGACAGAAAAATTACAGCAAACGAGAGGGGAGTGGAGTGTGTAATGAAGTGAAGTCAAATGTAAAGCGTTTGCCAAAAGAGCGCACACACACACACACAAGAAGAAGAAGGAGAAGAGAAGTAGGCAGAAGAGTGCCATGTTCATATCTTATTTGAACTGCGACAGCCCCAACGCCAACGCAAGCGCCAGCAGCAACTGTAACTGCAGCAGCACCAACACCAGCAGCAGTCCATCAGCAGAGCAGGGGGTGTGGGGAATGGAGCGGCTACTGCATGCAGTGCGTGAGGAATTCCAAACGGAAGACGAAAACGAGGAGGGACAGGAAAAAGGTGATGCTAAGAACAGCGACTGTGAGAGCAGCAGCACCTCAGCAGCTGGAGAATCTACCGACAGCAGCCAGCCTCTGTCTCAGTCGCTGCCACTGCCGCAGTCACAGCTGCTGCAGCAGCAGAAGGCAGCACGGCGTAAGCTGCAGCGCAGTGACAGCTTTGAAACGGTAACGGGCATGCCCATGCTTGCATGGACGGAGACAGCTGCTGGTGCAGGAGGGATAACAGGTACTGGTACAGTGGGGGGTACAATACGTCGCTTTCGGCGCTCCTCCATTGGAATGCAACGAAAGTCGGCATTTCGCCAAAGGAAGCTCGACTCCCTGGGGGCGTATCGACGCAAGAGGTGAGATGCTGCCATTTTCGGTGCTTACCGATTGCAAAACAAAATCACACAATCACATCCAAAGACTAACGGAAGCAAAAACTCACACTGCTCGTATGCTAACTCATATGCGCTAACCCTTTAATTTCCTTTATCAGTGCCATCAAATGTTAATCCATATTTTGTTTGTTTTTGTATCTTTCAAGCAGGCGTACCGCTACAGGAAGCAGTGCCCGTAGGCCCATACGCATTGTACCCGATTGGACAGAGAATGCGATTAATGGCGAGCACTACTGGAAGACCTCGTCGGCTTCTGGCGATCTCTGTTGCCTCAACGAGGAGTGCATTGTAAGTGCGGTACGAATCACCTCTCGCTCGCTCTCCTTTTCAGCAAACACGGGATAAGTGGTATACGCTCCTTCCTTTTTTGCCCCTCAATTCAATTAGGGGGAGAGATTAAAGTACGTACATGTGTGCGTAATTTATTTATTGCGTGCCTGTCTAACATTCATGCAAATATCTGGAAAGCCCCCATGGAAAGGCTTTCGTTCCGTTTACGGTTTACGATTTTTCCCATTTCCAGTAGGAGGCGTGACATCAGCCCGCATGTCCTGGCCAGAGGACAGGAGCCGCCAAAATGTAACAAAAATGTATCTACTTTATCTTGGGGAACATTGTCAGGCTAGCAGTAGGATTGAGAGCCCTCTGTCTTATCTGAATCTAACATTCACCCTGTCTGTCTGTCTGTCTGTCTGTCTGGGTTATATTTATTCAAGTTTAGACATTGCCAAAAACAACATGCATACAAATATACACAGGCGTGGTAGGTTGAGTATTAGGTGTGGAAAAAGTGATGCCAGCTTAAAATTCGATTCGATTCTACAAAGATGTTTGGTGGGAAGAGCTCTAAACGAAACAAAAATGACTTAGAACCAACCTTAAACCAGAAATGGAAACAATCCTAAAATTTTTAGGTTTTTTTTATCTCTTGGAAGAACACAAAGTCCCCATCGTCAGTGTATTAAGGATAAAGACTCAAGTTTTGTGGCCATTTTCAGAAGAGCGGCCAACGTTTGAAGTGCTCCGCCTGTCAGCTGGTGGCCCACCTCAATTGCATACCGTATGTGAACGAGAAGCCGACGCTGCTGTGCAAGCCGACGTACCGGGATGTGGGCATCAGGCAGTACCGGGAGCAGACGACCACCCACCATCATTGGGTGCACCGCAAGATGGAGAAGGGGAAGTGCAAGCAGTGTGGCAAGGTTGGTATTCCCGCCTTTTAGTAGAGTTGCTCCCCTAACTATTCAAATTAGAATATTATGTTTGAATCCATACCGCAGGCGGTTCAGAGCAAGCTATTTGGCTCGAAAGAAATTGTAGCTTTGTCCTGTGCCTGGTGCCATGAGATCTATCACAACAAGGACACGTGCTTCAATCAGGAGAAAATTGGCGAAGAGTGTCGTCTCGGTAAGTTTATCTGTATCTGTATCTGTATCTGTATCCCTGTATTGCTATATTACCTTTTCCTCTCATGCTTTTTCGTGCTTCTTCGTGCTTCGTGCTTCGTGCTCCATAATATATCGAGAACGACCTCCTGCCCATTGTCCTTTGATTAATTACGTGACGTGCATGCAAATAAATTGCGGTCCGTTAACTTAATTAAAATGTGTGCATTAAAACCGAATGCCTAGCCGCACAAAAAATAACTCCGACTCCCAACTGGAACGTAACCCTTTTTGGGCCTTTATCCAGCCATTGCAAATCCCTGTATGTGTCCTTTTGTCTGCCTTTCAGTTCGAGCTCAGTTTATGGACCCAAATGATAATAAATTGTGGCCTTTATTCATTTCTCCAGCAGTTTGTTGGACTTGGATTGATGGATTTCGTTGGACTTTCCATCAACTATTTAAACCTCAACTCAAAAGAACCATCTAAAAAGTGTATCTTAATTGCTGGACAATTGTATCCGTTGTTGCTCTTTAATTCTCTTGGATTCTTGCGCTTTTTTTCTTATATGGCTTTGTTTTTGTTTCATAATGTCATCGTTCAGGAATTCTAAAATAAGAAAACACACTTCAAACTGCAAGTAATTGTTCTCTTGTGTATTTTCGATACCAGCACGAGGTGCTGGGTAATTTCTCAACCTCAACTTCATTCTGTCAAATGTGGGTTAAACCGTTTGCTTGTTTAAGTTTCGCCTTTACCTTTGGTTTAGTATCAGGGCGGGGCAGGGCAGCTGAGCTTAACCTCGTTTTAGAGCCACTGCCACAACTTGTCAAAGAAAGAAGGCTACTCCGGCCAGGAGCCCAGACTTTATTTAAGTTAAAGTCGAGTTAAAGACTGGAGTCCTCTCGAGGCTTTTACCTTGAAATACTCGCACGTGCCACCACCATAAAGTGTCTCAATGAGCATCTTGTTAACACACTCTCCGTGTGGCAGCCCATCCTCCCATTACGCACGCTTCCCCCTAGACCATAGACCCTGCCACTGCCACTGCCAGTGCCACTGCCCCATGAAGTGGAGCCAAGACAACGCACAAAAAGAGAAAGAAATAATAAAAAAAGAAAACAATTACGCCGGAGAGTGGGTTGCCACTGCCATTGCTGCTGCTATGTGGGGCCTGTATGCCCCACTGGCCACTGGCCACTGGCCACTGGCCACTGGCCACTGGCTGTGGCATTCATAATTGCTCTTTGGCATGTCGCTTATGCTGGGGCTTACCATCGCTGCTATTGCTATTGCTACTGCTGCTGTCTCTTGCAAGGGGATGGCAAAGGAAAATTGAATTTAGTTGCTTGGCAATCCTCAAGCACTTTCCACTCAATTAGCCCGGCCAGGGCCTACACCCCAAACGAACATCTATCCATCTCTTCTTACACTCTCTTTCTGTTTCGTCCTGCAGGCAACTATGCACCGATTATTGTGCCGCCATCGTGGATTGTCAAGCTGCCGAACAAGGGCAACTTCAAGTCATCCATTCGGGTGAGCAATAAGAACAGTGCCACCGGCTCCTCCGCTGCTGGAGCCACTGCAGGAGGCGCACCCGGTGGTCCTGGTGGACCTGGCGGACCCGGCGGCCCTGGTGGCTTTGGTGGCAAGGGCAAGAAGCAGACTACGCGCCGGCAGAGGGGCAAGGACGAGAAGAAGGGAGAACCGCGCGCATTCATCGTGAAGCCCATTCCATCGCCGGAGGTAATACCGGTCATTGTCTTTATTAATCCCAAGTCCGGTGGCAATCAGGGCGTCAAGCTACTCGGCAAGTTCCAGCATCTCCTCAATCCACGCCAGGTGTTCGATCTGACCCAGGGTGGTCCCAAAATGGGGTAAGTAGCTGTTGGGGATTTTGACGAAAGGCAGCAAATTCTTCCATCACAAGCAACTTTATTCAGGGGAATGAAGGAAAAAGATGCCTTTAAGAGCGGAACTTTGTTTGGAAAGAGATTTATCAGATGCAAATTGAAATGCTCTAATAAAACTTAACACAATTATTAAGCTAGCTTCAATTGAAGGCAATGTCTCTAAGGAGTATCCTATCCTAGGTCGATAGATTTTGCCTCATTCTAAACACACCTAAACACATTGTAGAAGTTCGACTATAGATTGTATTGCTATAGCTATAGTCTTTCATTCGCCAAAAATCTGTATCTAATTGTGTCATTTTTGCATCTCTCATTCCTCCCCCGCACCGCTTACCGCTTACCGCCCACCGCCCACCGCCCACCGCCCATGGCCGCCCATTAAGTCTGGAAATGTTTCGCAAGGCACCGAATCTTCGGGTTTTGGCCTGTGGCGGCGATGGCACCGTCGGCTGGGTGTTGTCCGTCCTCGATCAGATCCATCCACCATTGTCACCGTGCCCGGCCGTCGGTGTGCTGCCGTTGGGGACGGGCAACGATCTCGCACGCGCTCTTGGATGGGGCGGGGTAAGCACTATACGCCCAGTGATACCCTCGATTGCACTGTCCTTATAGTATTTCTCCTGTCAGGGCTACACGGACGAACCGGTGGGCAAAATCCTGCGCGAGATCGGCATGTCGCAGTGCGTCCTCATGGATCGCTGGCGCGTCAAGGTCTCGCCCAACGATGACGTCTGCGACGATCACATGGACCGCAGCAAGGCGAACGTGCCCCTGAACGTGATCAACAACTACTTCTCGTTCGGTGTGGATGCCCACATCGCTCTGGAGTTTCACGAGGCACGCGAGGCCCATCCGGAGCGGTTCAACTCGCGACTCCGCAACAAGATGTACTACGGCCAGATGGGCGGCAAGGATCTGATCCTGCGCCAGTACCGCAACCTCTCCCAGTGGGTGACCCTCGAGTGCGATGGCAACGACTTCACCAGCAAGCTGCGCGATGCCGGCTGCCATGCCGTGCTCTTCCTGAACATACCCAGGTGCGAAAGCGGAATGATCCTATAGATTGCATGTGGCTTCAGACTCTAAGTCTTGATCTTAACACTTTTCACCTTTCCGCAGCTATGGCGGCGGCACACATCCCTGGAACGATTCGTTTGGGGCGACGAAGCCCACCATCGACGACGGCCTGATGGAGGTGGTGGGTCTGACCACCTACCAGCTGCCGATGCTGCAGGCGGGCATGCACGGCACCTGCATTTGCCAGTGCCGGCAGGCGCGAATTATCACAAAGCGCACCATACCGATGCAGGTGGATGGTGAGGCGTGTCGGGTGAAGCCGTCGATCATTGAGATCGAGCTGTTGAATAAGGCGTTGATGCTGACCAAGTGCAAGAATGGACGTGGCGATGTCCAGTGAGTGATATCCAACGGACGCGGCCTGTCCACCACTAAACCCTTCTCTAATCACAGAGTAAATCCCCTGGAGAAGCTTCAATTGAATATACTGCGCATTACGATGCAGCAGTATGAGCAATACCACTACCAAAGGGAGATGCTCAGTAAGCTGGCGAACAAGCTTGGCCAGATCGAGATCGACTCACAATGCGATCTGGATCATGTCCGAAATATGCTCAATGCCAAATTCGAAGAGTCCATCACCTATCCGAAGGTATCGCAGGACTGGTGTTTCGTAGACGGTAAGTAATCTGCCACTTTGCTCTATCCATGTACAAAAAATGTCTACAAGTTCTGTCTCTCTATCTCTTTATACTTTCTCATTGAAAGCCTGCACTGCAGAGCACTACTTCCGCATCGACAGGGCGCAGGAACACTTACACTACATCTGTGACATCGCCATTGACGACTTACTTATATTGGATCACGAGCTCGCCACCATGCCCCAAACACCCGATCAGGAACGCTCATTTGCCGCATTCTCGCAGCGTCAGGCGCAGACGGAGCGCAGACAGATGGATCAGGCCCAGGGCCATGCACCAGGCAGCACCGGTAGGCTTCTTCTGTTATCTGCCTGCTGGCCACCAAAGCAAAAGCCACAACAGGCACAGCAACCAGCCAGCAGTGTTGATGAGCTGCCGCTGCAAGAGCGGCTGGAGCTCTACCAGCGTGAGGTGGCCGCTCAGCTGCCGTTTATTGATAGACGCATGTTCTGCCACCTACATTTTCGCAAGAAGCGCTTCCAGCTTTGAGCATAAGGAGAGAGGGGATCTGGCTATCTGTCTCTCACTTTCCCCACTCACCCACTCTCCCACTCACCCACTTCCCACATCCCGTTCTCCTGTTACTGTTTATCTTTCTGTTGATTTTATCGTTTATCGCGAAAGTTGTGTTTGTTGCACGTCTAACCACTAACCAAAATGGGAAGACAGCAAACACTCAAATATCCAAACCCACACACACACACACACACACTCTAGATATCTTAAGATATTTCAATACGTATTTGAGGAACCCGAATACAGCTTAGTCCTTGCCACAATAGCATGTAAGTAGAGCATTAAATACGTAGAACTCTGTTGAACAATCGAACACTTACGATATGGTATATAATCCCGGCTTACATTAACAGTTAACCGTAGCAAGGACCAAACCGTATTCCGGTATCCACCGCACACCACACCACAACACCTTCGATGTACATATGTACCTCCGATAAATGTATCGATGTACCCTTCTTCGATCAAGATATCCCCAAATATCCATAAACTAGACACTAGACACCACCACACACAAAGAACCCCCAGGGTAGGTTATGCATACGTAGTGGATATACCGATATCCGATTGAACTCTATGTATTTAATTAACTTGTTGATATCGATACACGTTCGATATGTGTGTTAATCGATTAACACTTTGAATTAGTTATCGTTGAAACTTTTTCTCGTATTTTTTGTATTTTTTGAATTGATGATTTCATTTGTCGCCTAACTGTACTAACAATTTCTAAAACTCTTTTCATCGATATTAACATCGATACATCGACCTGTATCGATAATACCTACAAAATTCCACTCAAAGACGAGGACTTACAAATTGGCTCCAAGCCCATCAAAGTGATGAAGTGGAAGAGGTAAAAACGAAGCATTGCAGTCCCTCAACAATTGCTCCATCGATTCAGCATTTCGATAAGCCACTGTATTAACCCATTACGCTGATGCCAGCAATCATTGATGCCAAAACGAGCGAGATGGCACCACCAAAAAACAAGCAACGACAACGAAGCAAATTCAAATTCAAATTCAAATCAAATCAAATCAAATCGATTCAACCCATCCGCTATCTCTATCCAATTGGCATTATTCACTGAGTTGCCATCTCGCTTCCGCTCCCTTCATTCCCGTCGGCTGCCTTACTCCAACTTTGTGTCTTACATTTTTAGTTTGCTTGTTGTTGTTATTTAATTAACAAGTTTCCATGAATTAATTCGTGCATGCAGCAACAAAGATCGCTTGTTCAGTTTCAACGAAGATGTTTTTGGTTACGGATTCAGGTACTCTCCTGTTTATCTAGTCCAATTCATTTATCTCTATTCTTTAATTTTTGTTCTTATGTGTCTTCTTTTACCTAAATGTCTGTCTTGTGCGGCCTTCTACTGTGTACTACATATGTATATCCATTATATCATGACGATAAATGATATTTGTGCATCAACAAATCGATTCAATGCGAATTTCAAATCAAAACAAAACTGATGCTTGCATTTTCTCTCTCTCTCTCTCTCTCTCTCTCTCTCTCTCTCTTTATCCACTCTTTTATGCACACACAAAATACCACTCCCATATCATGAATATATATATTTATGAATGAATAACAGCCCTATACTGGAACAAACTTCCGATGCCATACTACTAGCAGCCCAAAGCGGTGATCTCAATATGGTAGACTAACTATATTTATTGTGCATATGTCTTGCCCCACAATTCTGTCCTGTCCTGTCCTGTCCTGTCAATTTTATTTGAGTCGCTTACTCACTCTCCCACGGATTGGTTATCCTTGCAGTTACGTGCACTACATGAACAAGGATACTCATTGCAGTCAGTGAATAAGAATGGAGAGACGGCCCTGCACTTTGCTTGCAAATACAACCATAAGGACATTGTGAAATATATCATCTCATGCGCCACAAAACGCGTCATCAATATGCCCGACAAGGACCAGTAAGTACTTAACGGACTCGGAAGACATAAAACCAGTGTGGTTCTCAAACCTACCCAAAACTAATCATTATTGTTGTTGTTTGCAGCGGACAAACTGCTTTACATATCGCCGCTGATACGACTCGCAGGGAGCTCTGCGTGATGCTGGTGGCCGCTGGGGCAAGTCTGCAGGCACGCAACGCCGAAGGCAATACCCCCATGATGGTGGCCTTCAATCGGAATGCCAATGAGATAGCCACATATTTGGAAAGTAAGAATGAGGATGCGGAAATGGAAACGGTTAAGGATGACGATGAGGATGGGGACGAGAGGGATAGCCGCACCATCATCATTGTCTGGCCGCCGCCGGCATCCTCCATGTAGAGCAACCGCTAGACTGTATCGGAGATCCCAATAGTACCCACAAACAGTAGTTGAATCACTTGACCATCCGCATTACCCAGCTTTTAGCGTGTGGCTAAACCAGACTAGACCGACAGATCATTCAACACTGATTTTAACACTGACACTTTCTCCTTTCTCTGCCAACAATCAACGTAACCAAAACCGAAACCGAAACCAAAATCTCACAACTGTGAAACGGATATACTCTCAATCCATCATCTCGATCAATGCCATGCTACAATCTACTCAAATACAAATACAAATACAAACAAAAACATTCCATCAACGACGCTTCGGACCTGATCTTGATCCTGATGCCGATCTAAATGCCGATCCTCAGGCCAGGAGCGTTTCATGCATTTGGAGGTGCAGACCAGAATCTAAATGGAAAGGCCGCTCGCTGACACAGAAGACGGATTCTCTAACGAAAAGGGTTCTCTTTGGGAGAACATCCAGTAATTTTAACCCACACTTTTTTTTTTTGCTAGCAAGTAATCGCGAACAATCGCGGAAACAATCGAACAAATGCATATATTTATTATTAGCTAAGCAAACAAAAAACATCAAAAACAAAAACAAAAACAAAAGCATTACTTAGCAAACTATTCAATAATTTATTTAAACAATAAAAACATAAAACAAAAAAACAAACACCAACACCAACAAACCAAAACCAAACACCACAAGTAAAATGCAAATGCAAAAGGTAAAGGTTAAAGGTTAGAGGTAATGGAACGGCAAGGAAATCAAAGAAAAGTTACAGATTTTTTGGGCTATTTGTTCACTTTGAATTTAAAATTAAAACAAACAAAAAACTTACCTTATGCTTAAAATAAATTAAATTTAATTAAATGTAATATTTAAAATGAAATCAAACAACAAAACTTTGAGAGAGAAAATTGGCAAATTCGAAATTCGAAATTTTATTTGTTTTCTCACCTAAGAAATCGATTAATAATTTTATATTAATTAACTAATTAATGATTATATTGTGATATCTAAATTTAATTGAAACAAGGAAACGGAGGCAGCTCCACTTTATTGGTTAGCCAAGAGGAAGGAGAACGTAGAATGCAATGATGGAATAATGATATTATTATTGTATGTAAAGGCATTTGCTGTGTAAATACAAATCTATTATTCAAGTGCATGCAAAAAGAAAACAAAAACACCCCACACACCCACACACACAATATATCACCCCACAAATATATACCATATTCAAATATTGATGTGTATTCGAAAATATATAATATACAAATAGATAATAATATTCTTTTGAAAAATTCTACATAGAAATTAAGACAAAAGAAACCGCAATTTTATGAATCTCTTGTCCGAGACTCCGCGACACAAGTTGTGGACGGCACAGAGTCGATGGCAGAAAAAGCAGCAGCAGCATTATTGTAGTTTGAGTCCAAAAGAGGGAAGCTCTACTGTACAGATAGCATCTGAGTATCTTCTCTCACTCAAAGACATTACACACACACACACACACACACACCCACAGAGACAGACATGATTTCTTATAGAGTTACTCTTTTTAGGGATACATTATGTAGTCAGTCAGTCCCAATGCACACTTTTGAATGCACAACCCAAAAGCTTAGGTCTTAGCCTCTCTCAACTATCGCCCAACAGCATTTCGGGCCAGACCTTCCCCAAAAGAACGCTGGAAACTAAAGGAAGGATGTGTACAGAGTGTAGAGGGGAAGGCGGAGCCTTTAAAGACATACCGCCAGGGGCTCAATTTGAGTTGTGCGGAAACAAAAAAGCGGTTTCCCTTTTTCTGTTTGCGCAATTCGAATTGAGAACAATGGGGTGTATCCTGTAACTAACTCGTATGTGCTTTATTCTTTAGCGACACACAACACAACTAGAACAAATGAACACAATTCAACTTCAATCAATTAATGGCGTAATTTAGGGACACTGCATATTTATAGAACAAATATAAATCATATCTATGTAGTGTATAAATATATCTATTCAATGCATATTTTATTCAAAACGAAAATAAGTTATTTATCAAAGATACCAATATATATTATGTAGCCATTAATCAGATCAATATATATATCCACACACCAACACACACACTGAAAATTACTACTCTTCTTTTTTTCTTTTTTTTTTTTGTTGTATATTTATTAAACTGTTTTGCAGTAGCTTCCAGTAGTCGCGACGCATTCGGATGTCAATTACGTTTTCAAAATTACAAAATTCGAATTCCTCCATTTTTTGGCATAGTGAAAGAGTCTTTAAATATAATTAACTCTAACAAATAATAACTAAGAAATAATAATAAATAATAAACGGGTAAATCTCACCATCCATGGTTAGTTAGATGATGGCTTAAGGCACGAGCACGTTAAAGTAGGCAAAATACTTGCACAAGACCTGCCAAAATGCCTCGTTGCAAGAACCCAAAGCGGGAGTGCAACGAGTGCATTTGGCCCCATGGTTACTTGTCTAACGAGTGTAGTTTGTAGAGTTTTGGATTTCACAAACATATGTATAGTATGGTATACAGTGTACACACACTCACACACACACACACACACACTCACACAGAGACACAGGAGAAACACCAATACCAATACTATAATACACATCTCATGCGGAACGCGGTCGACTGAGAAGCAGTGCGATTTGGGCTCCGGTTTCGTGGAGGCAACGCAGTCCATATGCCCAGTAAGTCGTCCACCCGAAACTTGAACCACAAACCGCCGCTGAGTCGGCCGGTGTGAAGGCATCGCGCGCGGTAGGAATATATATTTTAGAGTGTACTCGAGGAGCCACGCAAGTCAAAGTTAAAGTCAAAGTCAAGTCAAAGTCAAGTCAAGTAAGGAATATTTAGCAAATGACAATCTAGAGTATTAGCAAAAGGATGGAATGAGGCAAGAAGGAGGGATGGGAGAGTGTAAAGACGTTTGCTAACCCCAGCCTAACTGGGGGTCATCATTTCATCTATAAGCGAATAAAGATGAAATTGTAGTTGGAGGAGGAGGAGGAGGAGGAGGAGGAGGAGTAAGAGTAGGAGCAGGAGGAGAATATAGTGTACAGGATAGGAGTCAGAGGAGGAATGGGAGGAAGGGTGAGCGCTACCTAGATGTGTGCTAAATACTGAAACTCTCACGAGCTGGAAGGCAAATGCCATGCGGAAGGGGCGATCGATGCGTCGATCGATACTTTCCAAGCAGCGGTTCGAGGAGTAGAACTACTGGGTCCAAGCCAAAACTAAGAATATATTTTCGTGCATTTTGTAGAGTTGAAATACAAAAAAAAAAACAAAACAAAACAAAACACAACACAACACAAGCCACGAGACAACAGCAAACACAACTCAAGACAACAACACAGATACAAGACACCAATAATGGAGTGGAATTTAAACTGCATGATGTGTATATAACAGCTATATAGGGAAGCTATATATATATATATAGATTATATGTATACATATATATATTTTTTTCTATTCATATAAGTGAAATTTTTGAACAAACGAATAAGAAGATTAATGGAGCAAGAGAACACATGAAACGCAAGTCTTATGAAAAAACCCTAGCAAGTAAGGCAACCGAAAAGCGATCAAAGTAACGATCAAAATTGTTGATGAATGATGTGACAGTAACCGAATGAGCGGGGCCTAAGCATATGCAGAAGCAGGAACAGATATACCTTAATGATATGCCTAACTGTACGAGTTACAACTACTATAATATAATGATAAATATAATAATAAAGCAGAATATGCTATACATACATAAATGCCTATTTATGTGAAATGTATGATGCTGACATGTTATTTATTTTCTACAACAACCCACTTGTACAAAGGATGCAATACGTTTTCTCCATTTTCCGTTTTCCATTTCCCATTTCTTGATTCATTTGGTTTTTAATTTATAAAAGACACATCGAAGAAAAACATCCACGAGAATTAATTAGTCTTTTCCCTTTAACTTTATACCTAAATATGTATTTGTATTTGTATATTTATCGTGTATTTATATTTATGTGTATATGATCTATGATTGCAAGTCTGAAATGTATTTCTATCGAAGAGTTCTAAACTGCTTAATTGTTAATTTGTGCTTCGAAAAATCCTATCCACTTAATGGCCACTGAGAAGCACTGTAAATTACAAACAAACAACAAACAACAAACAACCTACAATACAATACACAACATACAAAATAATCCTAAACTAAACAAATAAATATATACATATATTATACAAAACTTATATACAAATACAAATATACCTATATACTATATACAATATATGTATATCTATTTTTTTTTTAAGTAGAAAGCGAGAAGAAGTAATAAATGAAAACAAAAACATACAAATACAAACTGCATACAAAGAAAAACTAAAAAAGAATTACTAAGTACGATATGCACTGCAAGCACTGAGGAATTTGATTCAATTTTACTTAAGATTACGAGAACGGGGCGAAATTGAAACAGTAGCATTAAAGAGGAAGGAGGAAATTACATAAAAACAAGCATACTCGTAAAAGTAAAACTCAAAATTACCGCATTACGATTACCAGTTATAGAATAAAAACTAACACTAATTTTTCGATATTCGATTCCGATATTCCGTAAATACATTTGTATATTGAGAACGTGGCATCATTTTTAAGTGAGGTAACGATGGCTGGGAAAGTTGAGAACGTTGTTAGACTTGTTGGGAATTTGGCTCTGCAGCATTTGCATATTACTTAGATCTATCACAAACAGCGAAACACTATCGCCACCACCACTCGCTCACACCCATTCACTCACTGAAAGCAAGGAAAAATAAAAATCAAATTAACAAAATATGTCTCTAATGTACCAAACAAGTACGATACCAATTTTCAAGTAGTTCCACATCGCAGCCTCTGCAGCCCTGGCTGAGTGAGTGTCAGAGTCAGAGCTTATCTATGACCCCCATTTGAACACCAAAATTGTACTTTTAGGAGATTGAAAAAAGATAAAAACCAAACCGTACTGTAACCCTTTTACTGAACTTTGTTCTTCAAACTCCAACTGCATTTTTTCTATCCAGACTCTAAGGCAACAAAAACCCACATCAAATATAACCACTAAACCAATAAAAAACAAAAAACAAGCAAATAAAGCAGCCTTATTCCAAAAATACTTAACAACAGGCCGATACCATCCATAAAATTACTTAAAAAAAACATATAAAAAAAAAAAGAAAAACAATTCTGTAAACATTTTCCGACACTATATTATGGCGAAATAAAACTTTTTTTTGGTATCAAAATTGTTTTGCAATTTCTTTTGGTTGGGCATAGCTATAGCTCTTTTCTCAGCCAACTTACGATAACATAAGAAGCGTAAAAGTTAGTAAATTTTATTCTA